GGAAGTTTAGACTTCCGTATGCTAAGGACAGGAGGAGCCCCTGGAGTCCAGCTGGGTAACCCGGAATGGAGTAGAGCTGGGGAAGACAATAAACTCCCTCATTCCCTTGGATCATTTCAGAAATGTCACCCTTTCCCACTCTGCCACGAAGCCCCGGCCACTTCCCCTAAAGATGGAGGCAGGGTCCCAAGCACATCCCATGGGGTTCCCCCTCCGCTGCAGTATTACTTCAGCTTCTGCTAGTCTTGCCTTCTGGATCTCAAGTGATTCCTTCCCCTGCTGTCCTGGGGAGAGGCACCTGAGCAGAAGGTGCTCCCTGAGTCCAGGCCTGGGTGCTGAGGGGCAGAGCAGAAAGATGGGCTGTCCAGCAGCAGCCAGGGGGTGCAAGAGCAGCTGCTCAGTCAGCTCTGCTTCCATGCCATGTTCTTCTTGCCCCTCCCTAAATGCTTACCCAACACCCTAACCTAGACCTAAAAGGGAACCGGAATTGGCCTGTGAAACCTTCTGTCCTGGCAGCCTCCAGCACATTCACTTCCTTCTTCCTAAAAATACTAGCAAATCTGGAGAGGAGCCAAGCTGTTGCCAGGTGGGCTGAAAAACCATTTTTTACTTATGTGAATCAGAGAGGGCAAGTACTGTGTCCAGGATCACACAGCAAGTTAAAGGCAGCCAGGCCCGGAACCCAGGATTCTTGCTCCTCGGCCCCATGGTACTTTTTTTCTTTCCTTTTCCTTTTCCTTTCCTTTCCTTTCCTTTCCTTTCCTTTCCTTTCCTTTCCTTTCCTTTCCTTTCCTTTCCTTTCCTTTCCTTTTTTCTTTTCTTTTCTCTTCTCTTCTTTTCTCTTCTTTTTTCTTTTATTCCTTTTTTCTATTTTCTTTCTTCTTTCTTTCTTTCATTTTATTTATTTATTTTTTTTGAGACAGGGTCTCACAATGTAGTCCAGGCTGGTCTTGAATTCAAGGCAATCCTCTTGCCTCCCTCTCCCAAGTGCTGGGATTACAGGCATGTGCCACAGTGCCTAGCTTCTTGTCCTTTCCACTGGTACCTGGTAATTGAACCTGGGGTGCTCTACCACTGCACTACATCCCCACCCCTTCTTGCATTTTCTTTTAAGACAGGATCTTGCTAAGTTTCCCAGACTGGCCTCAAATTTGTGATCTTCCTTCTGCCTCTCATGTATTGGGATTCCAGGCAAGTGCCGCTGTGCCTGGCTTTCATGGGTGCCCGGTCACGGTTCTCCTGCGTGCGGAGAGCCAGTCTGGAAGGGGCTTGCTTTTCAACTCATTTAACCAGGGAAGCTGAGGCTCTGTGGGAACAGAGTAGAGCTTTGGTAATAGGGCTGCTTAGGATCCAGCTGAGAGGGACACAACACCCAGCTTCTGAAGCTCCCGCCCAAACCTCTGCCTCCCTCACTCAGCTCAGACTTGTCTTTTTCTATCCCTAGACCTTTGCAAAATTTTTTCTGAAGTCTGCCCTCCACTCCTGCTCTTATGACACACCAGCCTTTCCCTCCTAATAGGTGTCTTGGGGTGGCTTAGGAAAAAAAGGTGGACGCTGACCTGATGGTGGACCCCATCTTTTGGATGTCAAGATAATATTAACAGAAGTGGTTGCTTAGGCTTCTTGACAGACTTTGTCCCAAGGGTTATTTGCATAGCTATTCGTGTGTTCATTTGCATCCTCTTGGTGAACCTTGTTTGCATGAGGCCAGGCTGACATCCAGGTGCGTCCCTCACAGATACACAGTTCCCAGAGCAATGGTCATGAAGAGGAATTGGCCCCACCTGACCCCCTAAACCCAACTGGGGAATATCTGCCCAGTAGTGCAGGTCTGCAGGTGGGAAGGGGGCTCACATAACCTCTCTTTCTGTGTGCCCACATCTGGAGCCCCCTGTTCCCACACATGTGGCTCCAGGAGCCACAGAAGGTGGGACACAGTGGGGCACAGAAAGAGGAGGAAGAATATGGGGAGATTCTGGTCCCTCCCACTTAGAGATGCGGTTGCCATGGTGACTAAGGACCAGTGAGGTGGGATGGGGTTGGGGATGGGGGTGGGGGTGTGGCAGGGACAAGGCACTGGGAAACCGGAACGCCTGACAGTCCAGGGGGGAAACACAGCGGCATCCTGAGCTCCAGGTAAGGGAGTGGGAGCACTGACCGATGGCTCGAAGGGAGGGGGCGGGCCATTGTCTGCCGCTGCTCTGCCCCTCAGAGGGGGCAGACCAAGGGGTTGGGCATTGTGTGCGCTCCTCAGCACAGCCGCCAGTACAGGGCAGCCTGGAGGAGGGGACCTAGGAGGCAGTGGGTAAGGGTCAGGAGGGACTGGGCTGGCTGGGAGACAGTGGGGGTGGAAGAGGCGGGGGATGCTGGGGACACCCTTGGCGCCTGTACACAGCAGACGCTCCACGCGTATAAGTTGATTTGACTCTTGTGATTAGGAAGAGGGGCTGAGGAGGGGGAGCCAGGAAGCAGATATTGCCCAGGACTAAGCTTTTCTGAGGGCTGCTCTCATGCTGGGAGGAGGAGGAGGAGGCGGGGGAGTCGACCGGCCTGGCCATTGGTGAAGCCAGGAGTGGCGTGTGTCTTGGCCCCATGAGCCCTTCCTCACTGAGGTGCCAGTGCTCCGCAGAGACCCTGAGGCAGTGGTGGAGACCCCCGGGTGGTAGAGACTCTGAGGTAGCAGGGTAAGGTGGGAAGCCCTGACTCCATCTGTCCTCCCACCTCTACCCCCACATCCAGCCTGGCAGGAAGGGCTGCTGCTCCATGTGGGGGAGGAGCCTAGCGGGGAGCTGGACCCTGGCAGGTGAGAGGCTAAACTCAATGTTGCAGCAGGCTGAGCTCCAGGGCTTGAGAAGAAATGGGCTGGGGGGCCCCAGACTGGAGTGACGGAGATGGCATGGCCCTTGGTCCTGGTACTTGGACATCTGACCCCACTGCACCCTGCGGGCGTGCTGCCTGACTCCGGTCCAGTAGGGGTTCTTACCCTCTCCAGCCTGGGTGTCCCCACTGTACAGTGAGGGAGGGGTGGGGCCCTGCCAGCGCTGAGCTTCCTGAGTGGGCAAGACCTGCTGCATAATTTGTGGGCTACAGTGAGAAAAAAAATGTGGGGCCCTGGTTTAAAAATTACTAAGACTTTCAAAACGGCAAGAGCAGAGCATCACAGGGAGCGTGGGCCCTTCTGAGGATGGGGCCCTGGCAACAGTGCAGGGCATCACTGGCCAAGCCAGCCCTGGCAGTGGGCCCCACAGCTGCTGATTGTGAGACTTGGGATCAGACTCAGAGGCCTTGGGGCGGGGGTGCATTGCTGGGGGGCAAGGTGGCCTTCCTCCCTACCTGACTCTTCTGCTGAACTTGACCAAATGGAGGCCCTTGCGGGGGAGGAAATGCTAGCTGATGGCTTCTCTTCAGGGAGATCTCTGTTCCTGCCAAGTTGCCCCCAGAGAGGTTGTTTCTTAGCCGAGAGAAGACAGAGCTTGCTGCCCTCCCATCATCCACAAGCCTTTGCCACGCAAGTAACTCCAAACTAATTTCTTACAGGGGTTGGGAGATGGGGCTGAGGGAGTAGGTAGGGCTCCGGGGAGACTGTCATGGCAAAGGATTCATTTTGGAAGGAGGCAGATCTGAATTTAACTTGCCTTTTAGCTGTGTGGCCTCTTTCCTTCTCTGTCAAATGGGATTACGGTGGCACCTACCTGGTGACATTGCAGGGAGGGCTGTGGCCCAACCTGGCAAGTATTCAGCTTGGCTGGAGGCTGGGGAGAGAAGGTCTAGACTAGAATTCTGGGTCTCACGGGCAGGAAGAGGACAGGTCATCAAGCCTAGTACTGCAGAGAAGTGGGTCTGGCAAGGGACAGGGAGGAAGACAGGGAGGTGTCGCTGGAACGCCCCCCTTACTTTCCTGTCAGAACCCTTCCCAAATAAGCCAGTGGGTTCTAGCAGAAAGGCGTTAGGCAAGGTGGCTTCCCAAATCTGAGCTGGAGGTCGGGAAGACACCGTAGGTAGGGTCAGGGGAATTGATTCTGAGAGCCTGGCAGAGACCTGGCTATCAGCCTTGGGGAGAGCTTGGGAGGATCTTGTACAAGTCTTGACAGTTGTCAAGAGCGGGCTGTCTCAGAGCAGCCCTGGGGAACTTCGAGCTGTTGGGAGCAGAGGGTAAGAGAGACGGCCGAGAACTGGGCTTGGCCAAGGAGTTCTCTAAGGAGCACCCCTCGATGGCTGGTGCTGTTGCAGAAGGGATGGAAGTTACACGCCAGGAGGGACTTCCTGACTTGTGGTGAGCAGTGTGAGTCTCAGATGGAGGGGGTTATTTGTTGGAGTTGGCTTGGCCCTGGGATGTGTGCTTTTTAACCTGCTATCACCTGACCTGGCTGAGTGGGCAGGAGCTTTCCCACTTCACAAGCCTGGAGCCTCATTAACCCCGCGTTACGAGGCTGCCCCTGTGAGGCTCCCCCTGGGGAGCACTAGCAGCCATCAGGGGGCCGGGGGCCTCAGAAGCGTGCCCTGTGAAGCATGTACTCAGATGGGAAATCTCCTGGGCTTCCCACTTGCCTGATGCCACCCTGATGGTGACAGGGTGACGCTGTGGGGTGGGGGGGACTTCCTCAGTTAAGTCATGGCTAACAGCCTAATATGGTTGTTTTATCTTTTAAAGATCCTGGCCCAACTAAAAGTGGGAGGCTGAAGGTTAAAGTACTGTAGGGACTTCCCAGGAGGTAGGAGTGGTGAGACCCCACTAAACACACAAGTGAAAAGAGAAATACAAAACATGGTGTTAATCCCCTATCTGGGAAATCTCAAGCAAGAGGAAACCACAGGCAGGCTGGATAGACTGGATGCAGTGTGACAGAGGCAGGGGGTGGCTGAAATGGCCTAGAAAGACCTTTTAAACTCTGCACAGACTGAAGCAAGAGGAAGGAGGGAGAGAGGTGTGTCTCCTGCTAGGCAGGTCAGCCTTTTTTCCCTCCCAATCCACCAACTTCCGCCCAAGCCAGGATCTGTCACAACTCGAGGTGGAAATTCTGGTTTCCCTGGCACAGAGCTCCTGCTGCTTGCTGGCTTTGGCATGATGGGTGCCTGGAGGGCCGCGCTCCCTTTCCAGCCAGGCTGAGCCTTTGTCCCCTACCTCTGGGGCCCAGGAACCCTGTCCTTCTTTCTCTCGGATGGCACTCCCACCCCAGAGTCTGGACGCTGGGGTTTCTCACCGCAACTGGCTCAAGGGTATGTGAGGTGAAATGGGTTGTTTGTGGTTGGCGGCCTTGGGAGGAGAGATGCAGAGCACAGGGAGGCAGGCACGGGGCACAGAGATGCTGTCGGGGGCCTGCAGTGGCTGGGAGACAACCAGCTACCCGCTGCCCAGGCTGCTCCTGGAAAGTGCTGATAGCCAAGCAGTGGGTAGGCTTGCATGGTCTTCCTGAAAGAAGAGATCCAAGTAGGGTCAAAAACCCTAAGCGCCCCTGGGGCTGGAGAAGGCTGGAACAGGTTCACTCACCCCCTGCCTCTGTCACACTCAGGGTGCCTGCCTGAGCCGGGAGTGGGTTTGAGGCAAGGTGTCAACAGATCTGAAAGGACAGGAGAGAATGCAGTCCAAAAAATTTCTACTGTGAGTCCAGGCTCTTGCTCATCTGACAGCCTCCTGCTCAGGGCCAGGCAAGGGTTTAGTCTCTGGGGTTTGGGAAGAGGGAAAAGCTGAAGAAAGGCACACAGGGCTTCCCTGACACTAAGGTGAGAAATGGCTCCACAGAGGTGTTGGTGAGAAGAGACCAGAAGGGGCAGGACAGGAGCGCCAGTACCCCTACTGCAAAGGGAAACTGAGGCAACAAGCTGAGTCCAGTGAGTGGGATGGAAGTGAGACTTTCTGAGGTCTCTCCCCTCCCCTATTGCCACACACACACACACACACACACACACACACACACACACACAACTTCTGCACTTCTGCTCTCTGGGGCTCTCCGATTGGTCCCCAGGGGGGATGTGGTAAGGACAGCTCACCCAGAAAGTGCCCGGGTGCCTGTTTCCCCAGAGCCATCTGTGACAGCCTCTGGCTGAGCATGGCCCTCCCAGCCCTGGGCCTGGATCCCTGGAGCCTGCTGGGCCTTTTCTTCTTCCAACTGCTCTTGCTGCTGCTGCCGCCGCCGCCGACTGCCGGAGGTGGTGGGCAGGGGCCCATGCCCAGGGTCAGATACAATGCAGGTAAGTGTGTGATGGCCAGGAAGGGTGGGGATGGCGATGCAGAGCTGGAGGGGGTGCAGAAGGGGGAGAGGGAAGAGAGGGAGGGGGAGACAGACATGGAGAAATAGATGCCTAGAAAGATGCCAGGGAGCAACAGAGGTGGTAGAGAAAGAGACAGCTAGAAATAAAAAATCTACCAAGGAAGGGAAGGCGAGAGGGGCCCAAGGGGCTCAGGGCAGTTCCACAAAGCTGGAGATTTTTCCTTCTCTCAACTGTCACTGTCACCATGTGGGGCACCTTAACCCCCAACTGCTTTCACATCCCAGGTGCTCCAAAGTCAAGCCCCACACTAGATCATCTGCAGACTTGGTGGCCAGGGCATGCCAAGCCAGTCCAACCACAGAGATCACACTGGACTGTGCCATGGCAAGCAGAATGAGCTCTTGGGATGGCCCAGCTGGCATGTAGGCCCTAGAGCCCTGCAGTGCAGCCTGCTGGTCTCCTGAGGCTGGAGTGCTGTGACCTTCTCACCTCCAGGGAGAAGGTTTTGGAGGACAGGCCCTGCAGGAGTGGTAGTGTAGGTCTCCTGGGCATATTTGTGTCTTTAGCATCTTTTCGGAGCAAGTTGGTAGAGGAAATGCAGTTGCCCATTGATGGAGAACCCTCCTCTGTGTTGGAGGTGAGGGCACAAACATGGGCTAGACCTAACCCTGCCCTCTGGGAGCTCACAGCCTCAAGTGGGGAGCAGAATGATCCCTGACACAAGCCCAGGCTGGGGTGGTCTGCTCAGTAACTGAGGGCTGTGCACATTCTGAGGGAGCCCAGGCTCCGTGACACTTCCTGCAGCCACCTTTCCAGGGAAGACCTTCCCCACTGTATTCCCGGGTTGAGAGTCCCTAAGCCTACAAAGAGGACAATCAGCTAGTCAGTCCCCTACCTGCCACCAAAGTGTGACTGTGCTAATGAGGGGAAGCTGTTTGTCCTCCTTGCTGATGTACCAGTGGGGCAGGATGGGAACACACTCTCATGTGCACATGCACTCCCTTCACATCACACCTAGGTGAGGGACAGGACCTACGTGAGCCTCCTCCATCCGTCCACTCACTCCTCCTGCCCAGGTGACATTCAAGCATGCCACACAGACCTCAGAAAGGGTGAAAATATGTCCTTTGTGTTCACAATGTTTCTAGTGGTGGAAATTTCCTGTAATAGAGGAGGGGAAGGAAGCAGTGGTGGTGGCAGAGGTGGCAACAGGAACCCTAAAAACCCCTAACAGCTCTGCCACACAATCCTACATCTATCTTTCCTGCCTGTGGTTGTGAACACCTGTAAGTCTGCAGCGTGCTGCTCCCCCTCCCAATGGGGACCAATGCGCCCCACAACCCAGGCATGAAACAGCATCCTTTGTGGTCCCCCACCACATTACCCTGTCTCCGGCTGCCTCTCCTCTGTGCTGTGGCACAACACATAGAGCTCTTGTGACTGCCAGGAGAGTTGGGGGACAGGGGCTGCGGGGAAGCAAGAGTGGTTCAGCCACCAAGGCCTGGGAAGCAGCTCGGCCAATCCTTCCCTTCCTCGTCTTTGTCTCAAGAACCAGCTGCTCCTTACCACTCCTTCCTTCCACTTCCCAACAGGGGACCCACGCAGGGTCCTTGGCCTCTTCCAGCAGAAGGGCCTCCAAGATTTCGACACCCTGCTCCTGACTGGTGATGGGAACACTCTATATGTGGGAGCTCGAGAGGCCATTCTGGCCTTGGATATCCAGGACCCAGGAGTCCCAAGGCTGAAGAACATGGTGAGGAGGCCAGGGACACAGGGTGTGAGCTGGGAGCAAGGAGGGACTGGCTGCTGCCCTACGCTGTGGCCACCCTTGGAGGAACACCCCAATTCCATTATCTACCATCAGCAATCATCAACAGTTCTTGTTCTATATGTCTTGTCTGTCATAAGAAATGTGATTGTGGTATCGCTACTCATTGATGTCACTGGTTGAATAATATCAACTGCTAAGAGGGTGATATGGAAATCATTGACATATGAGGTAAATACTGACTCAAATTATATCAATAATTTGATATCCACCCACTGGTAGAAACCACTGAAGCTTCTGTGTTATTGTCACCATTATCACTGTCCAAATGGGAGAGGAAGGGAGGGAGGTAACAGGAATTACTGATGGAGTCCATGGTTTATTTTCAATATGGAGTCTGTGGGTCACCTGTGTATATGGGGTACTGGTTAAAATGTAGACTGTTTTCTGGGTGTGGTGTGCATATCTGCAATCCCAGGACTCAGGAGGCTGAGGCAGAGGAGGATCGCTGTGAGTTTGAGGCCAGCCTGGGCTACACAGTGAACTCAAGGCCAGCCTGAACTACACAGCAAGACCCTGTTCTTAAAAAAAAATGTAGACTTTTTAAGGTATGACAGAGGAACTGACGTTTTCTCCAGGAAATGTGTGGTTTGATAATTGCGGTTGTGAATACCAAGTGTTAGGGTTTACATATGTGTCTGGTTGTGCCCACCAGCAGCCTATGAAACTAAATGACCTAGATGGCTGAATCAGTAAGTGGCAGAGCCTAGATGTGAACTCAGTCCTGATTCCTTAGGCTGTGTGTTTATCATAGAGCTGTGTGCTAATGAATATTAGTATTACCAGAGTAATAACCCAGTCACAGATTGATGTTACTGCTCATAAGCATGTCCCTGCCGTGCCTACTGGTGAACCAAGAAGGGGACAGCAGGTCACAGAAGAGAGAAAGCCCTCCTTTCCCTTCATCTCCACCCTCCCAATCCCCACTTCAGATACCCTGGCCGGCCAGCGAGAGAAAAAAGCATGAATGTGCCTTAAAGAAGAAGAGCAATGAGGTAAGGGGAGGTGGGGGCACAGGGGCTCTGGGAAGGAACCTGGTGCCCTGAGACAATCACGAAGTGGCCTTGGATAGGGCAGCATGGTCACGTGTGCACAGTTACTGCTGGACAGTGTTCGGCAGAGTTGTACAGGGGCAGCCCCAGTGTTGTCCAGCCCTTTTCTCTACTTGGAAGTGAGGGGGCAGCCTGAATGCCTGAGTTCCGTCTCCCGCAGACGCAGTGCTTCAACTTCATCCGTGTGCTGGTCTCTTTCAACGCCACCCATCTCTATGCCTGTGGCACCTTCGCCTTCAGCCCCGCCTGCACCTTCATTGTGAGTTATCTGATACCTAGCCCGCAGGCGCCCCGCAACCCTTCTCATACCTCTCCCAGCTGATCATCTGTGGCTCTGGAAAACTGGACCCTCAGAGCCCTCATGAACCCTGGGGCCCCACAGCAATGTCCCTCTTTGTCCCTCCCCCTTCTTCCCTCATGCCCCTCACTTCCCAGATGCGACACCCTGGTGCTCTGGGCCCCCAGATTCTCTTCTCTCTCTAGGAACTCCAAGATTCCTACCTGTTGCCCGTCTTAGAGGAAAAGGTGATGGAGGGGAAAGGTCAGAGCCCTTTTGACCCCGCTCACAATCACACTGCTGTCTTGGTGGGTGAGTATCAGGCTCCCTGGTCCAGCCAGCATCTGCCTTCTCCAGTCACTCTGTGAAACACACAATAGGATGGAGTTTCCTAAGTGTGTGTGTGTGTGTGTGTGTGTCGGGGGAGGTTGAGCACAGACCAGAGGGAGCACGAAGCACCCCAAGCACTACTTCCTACCGAAAGGGCCACAGAGGAGGTGGGAGGAGAAATGTGGAAAGACAGAGGCATGAGGGTTTAGGAAGGGCACGAGGCAGAAAAGAAGCCTGAGGTTGCGTTGTTTGTCCAACCAGTGTGGGCTGTGTGAACATCTGCTGTAGTGTGCCAGGTATCTGGCTGAGTACTTAAGGGGTTACAGAAAAGAAATCGGGGCCCTGTGCCCTCCTGGATACAAACCATTGCAGACTTTCCACACTGGCTTCCTGGAGGAGGCAGTCTTTGGCTTGTTTGTTTGTTTGTTGAGATAGGGTCTCCCTGTGTAGTTCAGTTCAGGCTGTTCTAGAACTCAAGGCAATCCTTCTGCCTCAGCCTCTGGAATGATGGGACTACAGACGTGCACCACCCGGCAGTCTTTGGCTTTTGAGCAGGACTCAAAAGATCTAAGTAGAGACAAGGAAGGTGTTCCGGGAAAAGAAGGGCAGGACCCAAGGTGTAGAAACTAGAAAACAGTTACTTTCTGGAATGAATGAGTAATCCTGCTTGGCAAGTGGTTCAGCCGAGTTTGTGAGGGAGTAGCCAGAGAAAGCCTGGAGAAGTGCTAAACACAGAAGGCCACACTGGTCATTTCCTGTGGACACAGGGACTTAAGAAGGGTACCCAGGCGGGTGAGCTCTGCAGGAAGGTGCAGAGGAATAAATAGGCCAGAGACTGACATGGATGCTGCCCCCCGCAGAGGCAGATCTGGGAGGCCAAGGCAGCCTCCACTGCTAAGCTCTCCTCTTCCCCTCCCTAGATGGGATGCTGTACTCAGGCACCATGAACAACTTTCTGGGCAGTGAGCCCATCCTGATGCGCACGCTGGGCTCCCGGCCTGTCCTCAAGACGGACACTTTTCTCCACTGGCTGCACTGTAAGGACCTGCCCCCAGCCGCATGGGCCTGAGCCCTTCCACAGTCCTGGACACCTGGCACCGTGAATGACTGCCAGGCGCGGGGGACTAACACGCATGCGCATGTGCCTTCCCGACTCCCCATCAGTACCCTCCACCAGCTGTGGGATCCCACAGAGCCAGGCTCCCAGTCTCCAGACCCATCCACGGGTTTTCACTGGGGTACTCAGGGCATCCAGGTCCCTAACCTTTTGCCCTGTCCCGCAGCTGATGCCTCATTCGTAGCCGCCATCCCCTCGACCCAGGTCGTCTACTTCTTTTTTGAGGAGACAGCCAGCGAGTTCGACTTCTTCGAGAAGCTCCACACCTCCCGTGTGGCTCAAGTCTGCAAGGTCTGCAGCTCGATGGGAGGAGGGACTAGCCTCGTGGGAGCCAATGGCAGGCAGCAGGGGCGGGGTTGAGCGACGCAAACCCAATGGGAGAGGGTAGGGGCGGGGCCACGCCAGTGAGGCTGACCCCCTCCTGCGCCCCCAGAACGACGTGGGCGGAGAGAAGCTGCTGCAGAGGAAGTGGACCACCTTCCTCAAGGCGCAGCTGCTCTGCGCCCAGCCGGGCCAGCTGCCCTTCAATGTCATCCGCCACGCGGTCCTGCTGCCCGCCGGGTCGTCCACCGGTCCCCGCGTCTATGCAGTCTTCACCTCCCAGTGGTGAGCAGCAGCGCGTGAACAGGGGCTGGAATCGGGATTTGAGGCCTCTGTGGCCCACGCTCTCGAAAGGAATAGGAACTTATGTGAGCAAGCACACACACTGCACTGTACCCAGTGAGGCACTTGATGGTCACCACCTCCCAGCAGTTTCACTGATGTAGGTAGGAAAATAGCGCCCACACAGCTTCTGACTAGTTTATATTCTGTATAGTTCCAGAGGGATAGGACAAAGTTTACAAAAGGCCAACATGAGAATTGATAATATAGATAAGAAAACGGGAATGGAGACAATGAAGGAAGCTGAGAACAGCGCCAGTCCAAATGGTCGTCCTTGGGTGACAACTGCACGTTTACCTCTGAGCTTCCTAATGGCCAGGGCAGAGAGAAAAGCATCATCACTCACTAGAGAAAAATACATTCATTTGCTTAGAAGACAAAAAAAAATAAAAAACAACGCTGGGCATGGTGGCGCATGCCTATAACCCCAGCACTCAGGAGGCTGAGGCAGGAGGATCGTTGTAAGTTCAAGACCAGCCTGGGCTACAAAGTGAGCTCAAGGCCAGCCTGAATTGCACAGCAAGATCTTGTCTCAAAAAAGACGAAAAACAAACAAACAAAAAAACCCCGCCAAAACAAATCAATTGCTTAGAGGTTGAGAAGGGTTAACTGATTTGCCAAGGTTCCACAGTTGTGGTCTGGCCCTACAGTGTTTATGTATTTGCTTGACCATGTGTCAGGTACCAAAGGTCTAGTGTCCTTGCGACCCAGAACTGAGTGCTTGGTGTGTATAACAGGTTAAAGAGCAAGAGCAAGAGAGAGAGAACCCCACAGACCAGGAATGAAGGTATAAAAATAATCAGGTTAAAAAAAAAAAGGCAGGTAGTCAGGCTATGGTTGGTTCTTTGAGGAGTCAATCAAGGTGAACTCAAAGAAGAGGGCTTCAAGGGGAGCCAGCCTGGAGCCAGCCCTGCTGCCCCTCTCAGGGCACATGCTAGCCTAGGCGGGACAAGAGGATCCACCCCAGGGCCTGTGCCCCAATTAATTCTCATTAAAATAATCACACTGCAGATCCTAAGATGGGCCTAGAGCCAGGTCCTGGGCAGAGTCACAGAACTCCATGGGGCTCTCCCAGCCTTTATCAGCCCTGCAAAGGGAAGAAGAAGCAGCTGAGGTTGACCCAGCTCTGACACCTCTGCCCTCCTGGGCTTTCTCACTGTGGGTGGGCCAGGGCCAGAGGGGCAGCTAAATGCTAAGGCAGAGGAAACCGAACTGTCCCCTCTGACTGTCTTCAGGCAGGTTGGCGGGACCAGGAGTTCAGCAGTTTGTGCCTTCTCTCTCTCGGACATTGAGAATGTCTTTAAGGGGAAGTACAAGGAGTTGAACAAAGAAACTTCACGCTGGACTACTTACAGGGGCCGCGAGACCAACCCCCGGCCGGGCAGTGTGAGTATCAGCCCTATACAAGCCAGGCCCTCCCAATATGCATAACATGCGTATAAAAGCTTCTGTCCTCACTTGGTAAATGGTGGGAACTCCTGGTGCTCCCATTTCACCAGTGCTGTCTGCCCAGGCACACCCCTGGCCTGGCTGCCCTGGGTCCCACAAGTGTCCAGTGTCATCCTACCCCAGAGCAGTTGTAGGCTCACCTCCTACCCAAGACTGTGCACTAAATATCTGGTCATGTTGCTGAAGAATTAAGGGGACATGGACTGTGTACCAAGGACTATTTAAAACATCTTCACCTGTGTTTCTTATTAACTTTGATTTTTTTCCCCCAGTACTAGGGATTGAACCCAGGGCCCTGTGCATGCTAGGCAAGAGCTCTGCCACTGAGCTATATTCCCCAGCCCCTGGCTTTTAAAAAAAATATTTTTTTCATTACTGCCTATTACTTTTACAAAATATTGAGTTTAAATGTAGCATTTTCATGCGTGTATATACCATATTTTGATCATATTTACATGCCAGGGAAAACATGTGATACTTGTCTTTTGAGCATGGCTTATTTTGCTTAACATGATCTCAGTTCCATCCACATTCCTGTAAACGTTCCTCTTTATGGCTTAATAATACTCTATTGTGTATATATACACATCTTCTTTATCCATTCATCCATTGATGGGCACATCAGCTGATTCCATATCTTGGAACTTTGAATTGTGCTTCAGTGAACATGGGTATGCAGGTGTCCTTATCATATGCTGACTTTGATTCGTGCGGGTTCGTAGCAAGGTATGGTATAGCAGTTCTAATTTTAGTTGTTTGAGGAACCTCCGTACTGATTTCTGTAGTGGTTATAGTAATTTACATTCCCATCAGCAGTGTAGAAATGTTCTCCCCACCCCCCCCGTATCTTTCCCAGCATTTTTGTTTTTGTATTCTTGTTAGTAGCCATTCTGACTGGGGTGAGATGGAATCTCAGTGTAGTTTTGATTTGCTTTTCCCTAATGACTTAAAACTTTTTTGTTGTTGTTGTTTTTTTGGTTTTTTTTTCCAGTACCGGGAATCAAACTCTCGACCTTCCTCTTGCCAGGCAGGCGCTGTGCCGCTAAGCTAAATCCCCAGCCCCTATGACTTAAAACTTTGAACATTTTTTCATATAGTTACAGCCCTTTGTACTTCTTTTGAGAAGTATGTGTTCCTTTAACTCGTCCATTTATTGATTGGGCTATTTTCTCTGTTGTTTTTTGAGTTCGTTGTACATTCTAGATATTAACCCTCTGTTTTGTTTTGTTTGGTACCGGGAGTTGAACTCACGACCTCATGCTTGCTAGGCAGGCGCTGTGCTGCTGAGGTATATCCCCAACCTGATGTTAAGTGTCTGTCAGAAGAAAAGCTTGTGAAGATTTTTCTCTCATTCACTCTTTGTTGTTTCTTTTGCTGTGCAGAAACTTTTTAATTTCTTTCTTTTTTTTAATTTCATGTAGTCTTTTTTTTTTTTTTTTTTGGTCTTTTTGAGACAGAATCTCCCTATGCAGTTCACGCTGGCCTTGAGCTCACTTTGTAGCCCAGGCAGGCCTTGAACTTGCAACAATTCTCCTGCCTCAGCCTCCCAAGTGCTGGGATTACAAGCATGCACCACCACACCACACCCAGCTCAGGTAGTCTTTTTTTATTATTTATTTTTTTTTGGTTTTTCTCTGGTACCGGGAACCGAACTCACGACCTTGCGCTTGCCAGGCAGGCGC